GGGTCTGGATGTAAAATACCCGGTGGTCCCCTGTGGGACATCGGAGTTGCCCAGTGGTCCCCGGGGGACATCAGCCCGTGGGACATCGGAGTTACCCGGTGTCCCCCGTGGGACATCGGAGTTACCCGGTGGTCCTGGTGGGACACCGGCCCGTGGGACATCGAAGTTACCCGGTTGTCCTGGTGGGACATCGGGTAACTCGACCCTACCTTGCAGGGCCCGGGGGGGTCTGGGCATGAGTTACCCTGTGTCCCCCGTGGGACATCGGAATTACCCAGTGGTCCTCGTGGGACACTGGCCCGTGGGACATCCGAGTTACCCGGTGGTCCCGGTGGGACATCGGGTAACTCGACATTACCTTGCAGGGCCCCGGGGGGTCTGGGCATGAGTTACCCAGTGTCCCCCGTGGGACATCGGAGTTACCCGGTGGTCCCCGTGGGACACCAACCCGTGGGACATCGGAGTTACCCGGTGGTCCCGGTGGGACATCGGGTAACTCGACCTTACCTTGCAAGGCCCAGGGGGGTCTGGGCATGAGTTACCTGGTGTCCCCCGTGGGACACCGAAATTACCGGGTGGTCCCCGTGGGACATCGGAGTTACCCGGTGGTCCCCGTGGGACATCAGCCCGTGGGACATCGGAATTACTGGGTGGTCTCGGTGGGACATCAGCCCGTGGCACATCGGAGCTACCCGGTGTCACCCGTGGGACATCGGAGTTACCCCGTGTCGCCCGTGGGACATCGGCCAGTGGGACATCGGAGTTACCCGGTGTCCCCCGGGGGACATCGGGTAACTCAACCTTGCGGGGGGTTCTGGGCATGAGTTACCCGGTGGTCCCGGAGGGACATCGGAGTTACCCGGTGTCCTTCGTGGGGCATCACGACGACGACGACGACGAAGACGACGACGACGACGACGACAACGACGAAGACGACGACGACGACGTCGACGACGACGACGACGGCAAATTTCCCATTTGTTTTTCCAGTGCGGCCCCCCCTGATGAGTCAAAATCCTATGAAAATTTCAACAGTTTTGCGTTGGAGCCCTTGCCTCGGCGCGTTGGCGGTGAATGCGCGAGACAAGCGCTTTCGGTCGCAATTTGCAACAACCATAATGGTTGTTGCCCTCTCAGGGAGCCGTACGGGAAAAACACATGGAATTCGACTAAGACGACGAAGACGACGACGAAGGACGACGACGACGACGACGACGACAACGACGACGACGACGACGTGACGACGACCTCTGGAAGCCGTCTTGGGGCCGTCTCTGGGCTCTCTTGGAATCGTCTGGGTGACCGATCTCGGGGCTTTATTGAGATCGTATTGGGGTCCCCTTGGAGCCGTCTTTGGGCCCTCCTGGGTTTTTCCCAGGGGCCTCCGGCGGAGCCCAAAAAGGCCCCGAGAGGGCTCCAAGAGGGGCCCAGTAGTTGTGTACCAACCGAGGGCCCGCTGGTACATAACTCCTGGGCTTCTCTTGGAGCCATCTTGGGCCCCTCCTGGAGCCGTATTGGGGCCTTCTGGGGGCCCTCTCGGGTGCTTCTCAGGGCCCTCGAGGGCCCTCTGGGCCCCCAGAGGGCCCCAGGACGGCTCCACGAGGGGCCCAAGATGGCCCTAAGAGGGACCTAGGAGTTATGTACCAACTGGGGGGCCGCTGGTACATAACTCCTGGGCTTCTCTTGGGGCCATGTTGGGCCACTCCTGAAGCCGTCTCGGGGCTCTCTGGCGGCTCGCTCGGGGGCTTCTCGGGGTCCAGAAGGAGGAAAAGGAGGAGGAAAAGGACGAGGGGAGGCAGGGGGGAAATGCAGGAGGAAGAGGAGGAGGAGGCAGAGGATGAAGGGAGGGAGGAGGAGGAGGAGGAGGAGGAGGAGGAAGAGGAGGCGGACGAGGAGGAGGAAGAGGAGGAGGAAGAGGACGATTGCATCAGTTGTATGCACAAGAGCTGCCACCATCCAGAGGTCCAGAGGAGGAAGAGGAGGAGGGAGGACCCCCCAGAGTCTGGGGGCGGCCCAGAGTCTGAACAGCAATTGTTTCAGATTCTGTATATGTATATATGAACTAAATATGATCTTATAATCTATACATGTATATATACATACAGATTATGTGCTTCGATATCTACAGCTATATATACGTATACAACTATTTATCCGACCCATATATTTTATAGGGCCGGGGAACCCATACCCCAGCGTTCCCCCCTAACGAATTTCGCCTCCTCGGGCTTGTTATGCGCCTTGCTATGGCCATCCTGGGGTCGTCTTGACACCCCCCGAGTCAAGCGATAGTGCACAAGCGAAAGGGCCGAAAACATTGTTTTGTTTACTGCGTCTTCTCTGCTTTTCCCACTCTGTGGACCCTGTTGCGCCAGCCTTGGGCCTGTTTGGGGTTCGTCTGTGGCCTCATCTGGAGCCGTCTTGGAGGCATTTGGACGCCTCAAGAGCCAATCGGAAGCGACAAGGCGAGAATACCAAAACCTTATTTTTCCCATGATTTCCAACATTTGTCAATATTGGGGCCCCCTCTCGGGGCCCTATAGGGCCGGAGAGCGTCCCCTTCCCCCGCCCTCCCCTCAAAGACTTTCGAATCCTCGGGCCTGTCTTGAGCCTCCACGTGGCCGTCCTGGGGTCGTCTGGACGCCCGCCGACTCAACTGGAAGTGAAAAAGCCGGAAGGCCGAAAACATTGTTTTTCTACTGCGTTTTCGCTGTTCTTCCCACTCTCTGGGCCCTGTTGCGCCAGCCTTGGACCTCTTTGGGGCTCGTCAGGGTGCACAGTTGGAGACGTCTTGGAGCTGTCTCGACGCCACAAAAGCCAATCAGAAGCGACAAGGCGAGAAGACCAAAACCCTAGTTTTCCCCATGAGTTTCCGACATTTGTCCACTCTTGAGTCTCACTCTCCAGGCCGAGTTGCGCCATCTCCGAGCCCTGTCGCGCCAGCCTTCGGCCTCTTCGGGGCTCGCCTGGGAGCTCATTTGGAGACGTCTTGGAGCTGCCTGGACGCCTCAAGACCTAATCGGAAGAGACATGGCGAGAAGACCAAAAACCTTGCTTTTCCAATGATTGTCCAACATTTGTCCGTCCTTGAGCCCCACTCTCCGGGCCCAGTTGCGCCAGCCTGGGGTCTGTTTGGGGCTCGTCTGAGGACTCATCTGGAGCCGTCTTGGAGGCATCTAGACGCCTCAAGAAACAATCGGAAGCGACGACAGGAAGCGAAAAAAACGAAACAACAGGAGCGCCATCTGCAAGAAGCCGGCAGCCCAGCAGCGCGCATGCCGAAAATGGCAAATGGAAGAAAAGCAGGACGAAGGAGAGGAAAAGGAAAGGGAGAGGAGAAGGAAGCGGAATGAGGAAAATGAGGGAAGAGCAGAAAGATGATGAAGATGAAGAGGAGAAAGAGGGGGGAGGAACATGTGGAGGAAGAGCAAGAGGAGGAGGAGGCCCTGCTACATGCTACCCCAACCAGTCGCCTGAGACTTCCTCGCGCCTCTGGGCACAGAAACGCCCTGAGCTGGCCAGAGCTCGCGTTGTCAAGTCGCTCCCGCTTAGGAGATCCTGACCCATTCCGACTTGGCGGTGGCCGGCCCCACGTCCACGCGCGCGCACGCCGCCTGCATTGAATCACAAGGAACAAGGCGCATGGCGCGAAGCGCCAATGCAGTCTTGTATATGTATAGATATAGATGTATGCATGTATGTATGTATGTATGTATGTATGTATGTATGTATGTATGTATGTATGTATGTATGTACATGCGCACATCTCTATATATATATGCGTATAAATATATGTACACATACATATGCACATGGATAGATGTGTGTGTGACTGTAACCGCATGTATGTGCATCTACCTACATGCATGCATGTATACAGACATTCATATATGCAAGCATACATACATAGATACATACATACAAACATACATACATACATACATACACACACACACATACATACATACATACATACATACATACATACATACATACATACATACATACATAGAGGCATAGCATACATGAATGCATACATAGATGTGTGCATGCTTGTCAGCAGACAAACAAACATACAAGCAATCAAACATACAAACATACATACCTACATTCATGCATGCATACATGCATACATGCATGCATGCATGCATACATACACACACAGACAGACTGACTGACTGACAGACAGGCAGACAGACACATACATGTATGCATGCATGCATGCATGCATACCTACACATACATACAGACATCCATAAATAAATACATGCATGCATGCACGCACGCATGCATACATACGTACACGCATACAGACAGACAGACAAAGGCAGACAGAAAGACAGACAGACAGGCAGACAGACACATGCATACATGTGTTTATACACATATATATATACACATATGCATACATACATACATACATACATACAGATAAACATGCATGCAGACAGACAGACAGACAGACAGATATGTGTAGATATGCATGTCTGCACACACACACATCTATATAGATATATAAAAAGAATCACAGGCGCGCTTCGTGCTGGCTTAGATACTAGCGAAGCCCAAGCCAACCTAACAGGAATCGGGACCAGCTGAACCCCCTTCCCCTTCTCCTCCCCCTCCTTCTCCCTCCTCCCCAGACGAAGGCAAAATCGAAACAAAATCGGACCGATATGAATAGAATATCTCCGAAGATCGGCGGGCTTGGAGGACGTCTCGGGCGCCGCGGCCGTTGCAGAGGGTTCCTGAACTCCTGAACGCTCTGAGAGCGTTCCGGAACGCTCTAGACTGGATTTGTCTCGATCCCAGGCCCGTCCGACCCTGGGACCACCTCCTCAGCCCGAACCGTTTTCGTCGACGGTGCTAGGGCCGGGTAAAGGCTCCCCCGAGGCCGCAGATTGCAGCAGACAGCAAGCAAGCAGTCCCGCCGTGATCTTCCCACGACGAGAAGGGGTGGCCCCTGCCCCCTCACCCTCCGCGCGCCCGCGCCCGCCGTCCTGGAGCTGCTTGCGCACCCCGGAGATCACCTGCCGGAGCTCCTCCTTCTTCTGCTGGATCTCCTGGCGAGCGGCCCCGCGGCCCCCATGAGGCCCGGGAGCCATGCCCCCTCCCTCCCGGTCCTCGAGCCTCGATCCTGCCGTGCCGTGGCCCTGCGACCCTCGATCTCCCTCGCCCTTCCAGCCCCTCGATCCGCTGCGATCCTGGCACGAGCGTGGCTCCGATCCTGCGATCTGGCGATCCTCGATCTCCTGCGCCGCTCCGGCCCCCGCGATCCTTCGACCCCGCGAGCCTCGCACGAGCGGCGCCCGAGAGGCGTCGTGCCTGCTCTCCGTGCGCGGCCCTGAAGAAGGCCTGGCCCACAGTCTCCGGGGGGCGGCGCCCCGCCCGGACGCGCTGTTGCTGGCCCCAGGGCCGGACGATGGCCCCCGAGGGCCGCAATCTATATACAGATATCTATATATATATATGTATATACATATGTGTGTACACATATATATAGAGAGAGAGACAGAAACAGACATATAGAGAGACAGAAAAAGACATATATATATATATACATACATAGACATATATATATATATATATATGCACACATATATATAGAGAGAGAGAGACAGACATACAGAAAGAGAAACAAAACAAACCAACAAAAAACGGGTTGAGCCAAAGGAGGTCTGGTACCGCCAAGATCGGCGGCGGGTCCCGGGGGGAGCGAGAGGGCGCAGGCCTTCTCAGAGGGCGGCGGGGCTTCTCGGAAGCCCTCGCGCCTGCCGAGAAGCCTTCCAGGCCCTCTCCGAAGACACAGGCGGCTCTTCAGGAGGCGCGAGGGCCTCTCGTCGCCGTCGATCGTCGTCGTCGCCGCCGCCGCCGTCGCCGTCGCCGTCGTCGCCGCCGTCGTCGCCGCCGTCGCCGTCGCCGTCGCCGTCCCCCCCCCGAGTCAGATACGACGCCCCCCCCCCGTACCGACCTTGAGCAACGTCGTCATTGAGTCGAAGGGAAGCCCCTTCCCTTTCCCTTCCCCGACGGGGGGGGGAGAGGAGGTCCCGGGGGGGGTCCCGGGGGAGTCCCGGGGAATTCCCGGGTCAGATACGACACCTCCCTCCCCCACCTTTTCGTCCTTCTCCCCGTTCCCCCGCAGCTCCGCGGCGGGCGGGCGGCGCCCGGCGGCGGCGAGGCGCCCCGGCGGGCGGCGGCGGCGGGGGCGAGGCGCCTCCTCCTGCCGCTGCAGGCTGCGGCGGTGCAGCTCGGACAGCTGCCTCGCCCGCCCAGGGGGGGGGGGGGGGCGCGGGGCGGGCGCGGGGCGCGTCCGGGCGTGCCCCCTGCCCAGCGCCGAAGGGGGGGCGTCTCCAGACGACGACGACGACGACGACGACGACGACGACGACGACGACGACGCCGATGCCGCCGCCGCCCACGACGACGACGACGACGAAGGACGACGGCGACGACGACGACGACGACGATCAGGAGCCCCCGGGCTCCCCGGGAGACCCGCCGCCAGCTCCTTCGCCGAGGGCGGCGGGCGGTATACGGCCGGGACAGAATGCACATCCTGCCCGGGCACACGAGACCCTCCGCCGACCACACGGAAGAACCCTCCCACGGGATGCAAAGGAGTATCTAACAACCACGAAGAACCTTAGGGCACCCTCCCCGAACCAACCACGGTCTTATACCTCTGTCCGACCGTAAGATGAAGCCAGGACGAGGACAAGCTCGGGTGAAGATAAATCGAGGATCTCTGAGATCGGGCGGTTCTGCAAGATGCCTCGGGCGCCGCGGCCTGCTCAGAACGTTCCGGAACGATTTGAGAGCGTTCCGGCACGCTCTGGAACGGACTATCCTCGCCCTAGCCCCGTCCGACAGTGCCCAGTGCAGGGCTCGAGATAAAGAGTATGTTTCGTTTTCGTGTTGTTTTGTTTTGCTTTGTTGTCATTTTCCAGCGTTCTGCCTTCGTTCCTCCCCCGGTGCAAAACGGAGTCGAAACGAAAACGGCCCACGGAATCGCCCAAAATTCGAGCCCCGGTGCACAGGGGGCCCCCGACGGCGGCGACGACGAGGGCGAGGACGGCGAGGGCGGAGGAGGGCGAGGAGGAGCGAGGCGCTGGAGGAGTGGCCAGCGAACAGCACACACACACACACACCCATACCCGTAGTGACTACCTACCAGATCACCCCAACCCAACCCGAAGACCCGAATTTCGGGTTGGGGGGGGTAAAGGGTTCCACGTGTGTTTTTTCGATGTTTCCCGACCCCCCCCCCCCCCACTGGAAATCGAGGGTAAATCTGAGCCTTTGGGTTGGGTTGGGTTGGTTTGGTGGGTGGTGACGTAGGGGGTCGTTGGGAGGAGGACTGGCTACGGGCATTCGAAGAAGACTCATGCCATGCTCCGCGCGGATTTCTTGGATCTGCGCTGGACCCCCCTCCCTGGCGCGCTCCGCGCGCCAGAGGCGGCGCCGGAGGCGCCGCCAGGGAGGGGCCCCGGCGCGGATCCA